AACTACTGCAAATGAAATCGTAGAGAAATACTTCTTACCAACTCATTTAGGACAAATAAAAGCAAATCCATATTTATACTTCTTATTTTATACCTTAAATATAACTTTCTAATATATTTATGAATAGATATGCTGCTGCACTTATTTTTGCTACTCATTGGAAATGTCATAAACTTTGAGAATAATTACAGCACAAACGTTTCACATAATTTGCAGAAAATAATAATAACCAAGTTTTCATATACACTTAAAAAACCTATTTAACGCACAAAACAAAATTATTACTGCGAATTTGCCTATTGAAAAGTATAACTACTATTTTCCATCTAAACAGCTCAAAAAAAATTCTACATGAAAATCTTTATTAGAACATAGTAAATGAAACAAGCTAAAAATAGTGAATTACAATAAAAATTCAATACTAATATAAATCACCACACTAATATCACCTTAAACAAAATTCAAGTCATGCATTGCATGGTCAGGAACTAGTAGTATAAAGAAGTATATGCTTTTATTTAAAAAAAAAAAAAAAAAAAAAAAAAAGAGGATCCGTGCACGGAGACCATGAGAAAAATGAATTTTTTTTTTATATTTATGTTTTTGTGTTCATTTTCACGCTCATTACGGAATATCAAACGAAATCGAAATATTACATTCTTAATATCGTTTTGAAATACTCGCGACATAGTATTGTACGTCGTTAACGATACGTAAAACGGTCAATCATAGCAAATGTTATGGGACGTTAAAGTAGGCATTTTCAAACTATATTTCGAAATTTTCGATAATAAGTTAACTTTAAAAATTTATCGACGATTGTACGATAGTTGAATCGATAAATGTTTTATATTCTCTCGAAACTCATTTTGAGAACTATATCGTAGAGATATCGAATGATCTAAATAGATATCAAAAATAGTTAAACGGACATTAAACATATGTGTTAAAAAATATGCATATGTCATTTTTTCTTAAAAAAATTAATTATTTTATTACTATTTTGAAATTTTCGATGACAAACTAATTTTAAAAATTCATTGACGATTGTACGATAGTTAAATCGATAAATGTTTTACATTCTCTCGAAACTCATTTTGAGAATTATATCATAGAGATATCGAATGATCTAAATAAATATCGAAAATAGTTAAACGGAGATTAGACGTATGTTTTAACAAATGCGTTTTTTCCTTAAAAAAAATCAATTATTTTTTTCTTTTTAATTATTTTCTCTTCTAGATAAAACTTAATTTTTCAGTGTTAACGAAAAAGTTATTTGTAAGTTAAAAAAATTGAAGAGAAAATAATTAAAAATAATTATATATAGTGTGGTCTCCGTGCACGAAGGATTATTTAAATTTTTTTTTGTACTTTTCCGTTCTCCATTTTCATACGCTATCGCCACGCCTTTTCAAATCAACTCATTTGCTTATATTATTATATTATATATCTAATGTAAGAGAGATAATGTGAATCTATGTAACACGCAACTTTCCATACCTC